AGTTTTAGATTTTCGTAAAATTCGCCAAAATAAAAAAGCGCTTGAAGTTTTAAACTGGATTTTTTAAAAGAGCTTACCAAAGGGTGTCTTCTGACAAAATATGAGAAATTTGAAAATTCCTTCGCTGTCCCGCCATTCTCGACCGTTACGGACAGCCACTCTTAACTGTACATGTATGCAATAACCTGGCTAGAGAAGATATAATAATATATTAATTGATAATCTCTGACTTCATCATCTTGTAGAAGAGAAAATAAGGAGCAGTTTGAGACCATTCAGAGTTACAAGACACAGGTAATACTCAGATTATGAATTGACAAGGAAAATATTAATTACAGATGGAATACAATTTAGTTAATAGTTATTTAAATTAAGCTAAAAAAATTACTTGAGATTGACCACTGAAATATATATTTTTAGATAAGAGAGTTGGAACAGCAACTGGAAACACAGCAGTTCAATGTCCAGGTAATAACAGTTGTATGACTAACACTGACAGATCTGTTCAAACATCATGTTATTATTATTAGATCATCAGCAGATAATAAGCATTGACTGTTCGTCCATCACCTTGTACTGTTAAAACGGTCCCTCTACCACTGCCATGTAATTCATCAATAGGTTTTTCTTCCTAGTTCCACTGGTGCCACACACTTTCCAACTTCTCTCTTTAGAATCTATTGTCATGTTGTGTGACTTAGGAGTTACACAGTAATAACGGCATAAAATGGAGCACTGATAGGGGCAGCCAATCATTGAAGGAACTTACCTTCAAGCTGCTTTAAATTAGTTACTATTTAATTACTGTGCTTCAGCAGATATACATTATCCAAGTAAACCATTTCTGCCTCTCTCAACCCAGCCTGCATCATAGCAACCTGGGGGGGGGGGGGTTACGAGGGAGAAAATCCCCCTAATCCCCTTACCCGCAGCAACTCAAACCTCATCCCTTTTGGGCTGCTATGCTATGCTGCTCTTCACCCACAAGCAATTGACTCCCCCCATATTTTCTTAAGAGTGAGATAATGTTAGGAAATATTGAGTTACCCTTCTTTGTTGTCCAGGAAATGGAAGGCAGAAGGTTATCAGAGCTCCATCGTCATGGTGAAGAGGTTAATGATCTACAGATGTCAAAAAGTGAAGTCATGGCCCTGTTCAACCAGATGGAACAGAAGATAGCCAAGAAGGATGATGAGGTTGCTAGGCTACAAAAGAGATGTCAAGATCTTGTTCACAAGGTAATACTGATTTAGTTTGCTTGAAATTATTTACAACAATTTTCACAATCAGTTGAATGTATCTTGGTTGATTTTTCAGGAAGAAGCAAGGATAGACAGACAGACAAAACTATTTAGACACTTTAAAAACAAATCTCCTCACAAACAGAATGCAGTGGACCAAAGGTAACCCAGTAACCAAAGAATCATCATGCATGTTACTAGCCTTAGTTGGCTGTTGTGATCAACCCACAATGTATGGTAAAGTGGTGGTATGTCTTACCAACACCTTACCATTATGTTATTGAACACTTACCAACACCATCTGTTAGAGCACATGCATGTTCTCATATAACCATTACCTTATCGACCACTTATCAACCATAATGTTATATGTATGTTAGCTTACCATTATGTTATTGAACACTTACCAACACCATACTGTTACCATACATGTA